AATTTTTCATAATCCATGGTGGGGAGCACACTTTGGAGCTACAGTTCTTGTCTCCTCATTGTTGACATTAATTTAACATTTATAGGCCAGGTGCCGTGGCTCACGCCTGTTATCCCAGCACTTTGGGAGGCTGAGGCAGGTGGATCACCTGAGGTCAGGAGTTTGAAACTAGCCTGGCCAATATGGTGAAACCCCATCTCTACTAAAGATACACAAAATTAGCCGGGTGTGGTGGCGGGTGCCTGTAGTCCCAGCTACTTGGGAGGCTGAGGCAGAAGAATCTCCTGAATCCTGGAGGTGGAGGTTGCAGTGAGCCGAGATCATGCCATTGCACTCCAGCCTGGGCAACAAGAGTGAAACTCTGTCTCAAAAAAAAAAAAGATAAACACAACTTTTTGCAATGGAGTGACATATCTGCAGCTTATATCTGCAGTGTTTGTGTTAGGAACCTAGCTTTTATAATATTAACTTTTTAACTCAGTATTCTGGCTTTGGGACTTTTTGTTTTGTTTTGGGTAAGATTTCAGAAGTGGAATGTAGCCTGTTAAAAGTGTGCACAAAAATATTTTGCATGTTTTTTTTCCTCCTGTGTGAATTCTACTTTTTAGCAAAAATAAAAGCCCCCCAAAGGATGTGCAAATACAGATTTTTCTGTGTAAAGTTTTTCACGTCACATCAGAAGTAGCTTACTTCTATATGGCCACAAATAGAAGTTGGAGACAAAACAAAACATTCTGTGGGAAGAAACACAACTTACTTGCCCTGATGCTCAATAGCAGTGTAATCACCATGTTTAAACCGACAAGGATACGTGAATAACATGAATGTTCTGCATACAAAGGGAATTACCAGGGAAATAATAAACTGAAGACCTCGTCTCACATTATATTTTCATAAAGGTTTGTTTGCTTAGCTACTTGGTGGTCAAATATTTCCAATTAATTTATTTCTATTCTACTCTAAATGGCTTCATTTCTAGAAAAGTTGCCATATTTCCTCTTACATCATTTGTTTTCAAATAAGTTCAGAGTAAAATCCTCTTATAGAATTTTTTTTTCTTTTTAATAATGAAGACCCTTCTGAGGGTACTATGTTTAACAAAATCAAACTCATTCTTTTTCAAGGTATTCTGTTTCTAGGAATTACTGAAAAGTAAAGGGAAGTTGTACATGCCGTATTTGATTTTTAGCACCTGAATCAGACTTTGAAAGAGCTGTGCAATTACAAACAGAAATCACGTCTCATCATTTTAGTACTTCTTAAAGCTATAACAATTTTAAAAATAGATGGTGGAGAAGAAAAGGCTGCTAGACTCATAGAATTTAAAGGAATCTAGGAGATCACCTAGGCATTTTTCCAGATGCAGGAACTGAGGCCCAGAAAGGGGAAGTGGCTTTCTCAGCCTACACAACCAGCGAGGGAGGCAGGCAGGTGCCATGGAATAAACATGGACTTTGGCATGATAAGACTAGGGTTTAGATGGAGGCTGACTTAATACCACTTGAGTGGTATTGGGAGAGTCTCTCTAAGCTTGTTTATCTATCTAAAAATGAGGGTAATGGCATCTGCTTCACAGGGATATTTTGAGAAGCAACTGTAGTAACTTTTGGAAGAAAATTGCAATACAAATGTCAGTTGTTATTATCACCAATAGAGTGGGGACCCAAAGCCCTCATTCCTGCTCCATTTTCTTAACTCTTTCCCCTTACCCATACAGGAAAAATCCACTGGAAAAACCAGCAGCAAGAATGAATAATATACAAATAGTGGCTAGGCACAGTGGCTCATG